CTACTAATGTGGTCCCTTTTCCAATTCTGGTTCGGGCTGCTGTAGGGCAGCTTTGGTAAGAGGTAGCCTAGGACGGAGTGACAAAAATGGTTTTTAAGTAAGCGGGCATATAAACAACTATAGCTTTCTGAAGGGCCTGGATTTTTGGAAAATCTTTGGTTTAAAGATTTAGAAAGCAGTAAGCAGAAACAAGGACTTGTAAGGCTGGAGATTAAAGCAGCAGCAGGCTCTGCAGCATTAGATGCCTTTAATGTAAACTCGAGACTGAACAACAGCTGTCAGTCTTTGTGCAGTAGTTGTAGTTGAAGCTACTTATTGGAATCTACTTTTAGGATGGGTCCCCCAAAAAAGTTCTTTAAATCTGGTCCCTTTTGCCCATACGAAAAGCCACCTAATTGTAGCTAGTCTTTGGAGGCTTAATTTGCCAAACAAAATTCTTTGAATATGGCCGCTTTTATTAATCTAGTGCTCGGATTAGTCTGTCTTCATTGCCAAACGACTCGATTCAGCTGAGATACTCCTAGATGTACCCGCCGAGCTGTAGGCAGGGATTTAGCTGAGGAATCATCGAGGAACGCTTCGACGACGTAATAAGGACGCAGCATGCGCTAGACAACGAAGACATCCTGTACCAGGCCGCCACCGATTTTCTGACGAATGGTAGCTTATTGCCTCTGTCATTCATGCGAATCCTTTCCATGTATTACACGATGAAGCATTCCTCGGCAGTGAGCATTGGCGCCATATCCCCGGCGGAACTTAATGGCATGTGGGCTTTTGACCGTGGAACGACGCTCGCCTTCAACAACATGTCTGCTGTCTGCAGATTGCCCGAACGCCTTACAAATCTGTATTTCTCCATGGCCCGCTTCTCGGAGTTCCTCAGCGGCCTGGAGCATGCAGCGCAGATGGCCCCCACGGTTGCCACAGCCCGGAACGTGGCGGATGAGCCTGTATTGACTGTCCGAGACCTCGATGTGGTGACGCCAGGTGGTAAAGAAGTGCTGGCACTGCACATGGCCTTCCAGGTGAAAGCTGATAATCCCGTGGTCATCACTGGGCCCAATGCATCAGGAAAATCTTTGCTTGCAGATCACCTTGCCGGACTTCGTCCCCCTGGCACTGTGAACGCTTCGGTGACTTTCTGCGGGACTTCAGTGTTCCGCATTCGGCCATTTCTTCACGACCTGCTTCTAATTCCACAGAAGCCCTACTTGGCTCCAGGAGGGCTTGGCGATCAGGTGTGCTACCCTCTAAACGGCCAAGACCAGGATCCCAAGATGCTGCAAGAAGCTTTGGACGCAGTCGGCGCTGCCCTGAGCATCTACAGTAGGTCACAGATAGCCTGCAAGCTTCTCAAGCGTGTAAGTTGCCAAGGCATTGGATATCTTGTTGATCGTCATGGAGGGCTCTTTGTTAAGCCCAAGCTGCAGTGGGATGAGATACTGTCAGGTGGCGAGCAGCAGCGCATAGGCGTGGCTAGATGAGTACAAGTCAGAAGGGTGGTACTACACTCGCTAATTCCACAGCTGCCGATCTCATGAGTCCAAAACCGTGAGTACCGTGAGTAGGCATTGCACGCTGCCTCTTCCACCGGCCACGGATAGTTATCCTCGACGAATGTACCTCCATGGTTTCCCAGGACATAGACTGGCACGCCATGTTTGTTTCTGCTGCGTGCACATTCAAACAGGCAGGTACTCAGCTGGACTTGTGGCATTGTTACAGTCCTCAGAGCAACAGTGGGTGAACATGCGAGTGCAGTGCCATGCAGACTTAAGGCAGGTACGCCCACGTATGGATGTAGATGCCTTGACATTAATTCATGAAACCTTGAGCTAAAGGACACAGAAGTCCAGCTTTACAAAGCCATCTCTGCAACTGGTTCTGCAGCTTGCTTTGATTTAATCTGCCTGCAGAGATCGTGCAAAGCTGTTCATGAGCACGGCTGACGTGATTGCGTGTCAACATGGAAGTTATATGGAAGAACTGCGGGGCCGGAGACTTGCAGAGGTGCCAATCACGGTTTCTCAACGCCTTACGCTGCTCGGCCTCACTTGGGCTTCGCAATCGCAACATAAGCCGTCACAGCAGCTCATAGTACTACCACACGCGACCCTAACTGGCCTTGGGTAGGCTACCAGAGCAGCCTTGCCCAAACCATGATAACGTTCATGTTCGAAGTGTATACGCTTACACGAGTACGATAACGCTCGTGTTCCACTGTTACCAGAGCCTCGATGCCCAAGGCATAATACTGTTCATGCTCAAATTGTATACGATGACCGGCGCATCCATGCCCCAACCATGGTGACAGTCGGTATATGGTGACTCATGCACCTAGGCCCAAACCATCATGACGTGTGAGTTCCAAGAGAACTAGCGCATGCATGCCTAAACCACAATAACGTTTTTCCCCAAATGTGCGGTTAATCTTTTCTCTCTAATGCGTATTTGGGGACCGCCTGTTTTGGCGTCCTTCATGTGATACTTTGGGGCGCGCTTACGAAGTTTCAGGGGTGTAAAATGCATGCCATAAACTGGGGTCCGCGCAAGCGCCCCAAGGTCCCGCGCAAGGGCTTGTAATGTAGCTTGAACATAGCATCTGTGAGTAAATGAAGAGCATGCAAGCAATCAAGTGTGTATTTGGGCAAAACACAAGGAAGGAGAGGAGGGCCACGTCGGGAAGGAAGCAAGCAAAAAAAGAGAGGCAAGGTTCTCGCCAGGTGGGGATGGGAGCACAGCAAGACCCAGAAAAGTAGGTAATTGCAGATGGCGGAATTGTGCAAGTCCGGCGCAAGCAAGCGCGCAAGCGGCAAGCTCACGCTGCCGAGGCCATGTAACCACTTGCCACTTTGCGAGGGATCACCACACACATCATTAACAGTTATGAAAGGGCCCTATAACAAGCCGTGTCCACAATGACTTTTTGGATGGGTTGTTAGTGCATGGGGCTGAACAAACAGCTGTCTCTCCTGACCCGTAACAGTTCCATCGGCAGTGCAGAGTACAAGGAAAAAGAACGACCACCATGTAATACCAGGGGGCATTTATCGATGAAATCGTTATGCAACCTATTTGAAATCAATTAAAGCCCAAGAAAAGGCAACTGAAGTCTGATTAGATAAGATGTCTTTAGATAATTCAATAGGCCAATCACCAAAAACGATGGGTCGAGGTTGCCGGAGACGGCCGTTCCAGTACTAAAGCTATACTACCAGAGAACGAAAATCCGTCCGGTTGACGGAGACGACCGTTCCAGTACTAACTCGTACTACCAGAGAATGAAAATCCATCCGGTTGCCGGAGACGGCCGGCCGTTCCAGGACTAAAATTGTATTAATTATCGGAGAATGAAAATCCATCTGTTTGCTGGAGACGGCCCTTCTAGTACTAAAGTTGTACTACCAGAGAACGAAAATCCATCCGGTTGCCGGAGACGGCCGTTCCAGCACTAAAGTTGTATTACCAGAGAACGAAAATCGATCTGGTTGCTGGAGACAGCCGGTCCCGCCCTAAAGCTGTACTACCAGAGAACGAAAATCCTTTCTGTTGCCGGAGACGGCTGTTCCAGTACTAAAATTGCACCAACAACAAAAGAAAAACGGCCCGCCACCAATGCTTGGAAAACGATAGGCCACTTTCCAAAATCGAATGTGCAAGCCCCACACAGGGAATTTTGACCGTGCCAATGTAAGATCGCCATAACACCAATCATTCAGATTTTGTAGAAATTTCTTTGTAGATGCCATACGCAAAGAATCAACCAAGCGGGTGGGAAAAAATGGCTTGGAAATCAAAGGATCCCTAATCCTTAAGTGTTATGCTGGGGACCCCCGCTATTCAGAGGATCCGAGCGGTAGTTAACTTTAGTCTTGACCCTTTTAAGAGTAAGCTTGGGGACGGATTTCAGAGTTTTGGAATTCTGGGGACTCCGTCTTTCAATGAGTGTTTTTATATTAGGGGGGAAGTGATTTTTAAAGCATCCACGCTCCTGTTCCAAGTGTAGACGGTGACCACAGCATCCATGCCAAAACCACAATCACAATTGTCTTCCACGTGTATACGGTGACGAGAGCATCCATGCCCAAACTGAAATGACGTCCATGTTCCAACTCTATATGGAGACCTTAAAGCATCCATGCCCAAACCACAACGACGTTCGTGTTCCAAGAGAACCCGCACAATAACGTTCATGCTCCAAGTATATTCAATTACAAGAGTGCTGAGCTGTCCTAACCATAAAAACATTCGGTTTGTAAGTGTGTACCTGTGTACAGTGCACAGTGTCCAGATCATCCATGCCCAAACCAGAATAACCTCCGTCCTTGTTATTGACTGAACCGTTTCTCCAAACCAGGAGGTTTTGGGGTCACGGTTTGAGGGACTGGTTTTGAGGGGCCTCCCTGGCGGGGACCCTAAGCCCCAAACACTCAATCTTGAAAAGCAGCAGGTAGTTGAACGTGACTAGCTCTGTTCCCGAGATGGCTATTGGGTTTACGGGCCCTGAGGGTTCAGGGCTATTATTGCTACTACCTCTCATTATTTTCATTATCACTACTACCATTACTGCTATTATTATGATTATCCGTATTCCCGTTTGTAAACGTTTGTAGCATTTTGAAGAGATCTGAAATCTAATTGTACACAAGGGGATTGCTGCGCTTATTCGGGGGTGGGTGGGCCAGGCACTCGCCAGCCCACCCTAAACCATAGACTCGTGCAAGCAAGAGGAAGGTGTCAGATTTGACCGGGGGGAGGCGCGTCACGGATAGAGGACTACGTGGTGTTTGAAGGCACTCTCAGCGCCTGGTTGTTCGCATGCAAAAGTAGGTTCCTTGGAAGGTCCCATCACGCAGGCCCTTTTCATTTACAATAGATGCTTCAATCGTTTGGTTCCTCGAGTCCTTATAAGATTTTCTGCAAGAGAACGCAACATATCCCCAAGTGCTACAGACTACTGATGATTTAAATTTTTTGCCGCTGAAATATCACAATCGCTGGTCGTGCTGTATTTTCAGCACTTCGTGGTGCTAAACGCGCTGTTTTTGGCACGCCACGCAAGTCCCCATATCAAAAACATTGAGGAGGTTGTCGATGTTGCGTGTACCATCATGTGCGCAAAACGGAGATCTTAGAAACAGCCGGGGCCCCCGGCCCATGGCCGCGCATGCTGGGAGAAGGCTGATTTTGCGAAGCTTATCCTTCTCAGGCTGCCGGAGCTCCATGCGCAGGAGTTGCAACTGGGCTGCGACACTCTGGCCGGCTGGTCGCTGCAGACATGCACAAAGTGAAAAGTGAAAAGATTTAACCTCACACAAGAATGGGGCCCAGGCCAGCGTGTTGCAAGAGCGACTCGCTGGCCTGACCTGCGGCTGTATGTCTTCCATGTTATTATAGATGCACCGGCAGCGTCAAGGCTCCCCAGCTTTGCACCTGCGCATGCTGCACAACTGTGAGCCATAGGGCATCGTAGGACGCTGCTCAGTGATCAGTACTGTCCTAGGAAGATGGCGAGAATCCGAGGCTGTGAGCTTCACAGAAGTACAGCATGTGCTTTATTTAGAGGTGAGAGTGTCGAGCACGACCGGCACCCAATTTCAATCGCTTCGGCAGCATAAAGCATTTCTCGCCCTGCCGCTGCCTCTGAATTGCTTGCATGAGCTCAGCTTCCTGGTGGCTCGCGTTCAATTCAGAGAGTGCTTGAGAATCCTGCAGCTTGGCCCAAAGCAGAACTCCTCCACAAACCATCACAAACCTGATTATGAGCCTGCTGGCTCCCTCCGAGTGCTTTCAACGGCGTGTTCTGCGGGCAGAAATAACCTAGTCAGGATATGTTTCCCTGCCGACTTGCCCATGAGCAAGCTTCGAGCCACGCGCGTGGTGTTCTTAGACGTGGACGGTGTCTTGAACTCTGCTGCTGAAGCTGCTGCAGGAGTTTTGGCTATTCTCCACCTGCTGCATCTAAACGCAAGCTGTTCCCTTCGATTCTTTGCAACAGCCTGCCACGAGAGGCTTGCTTATAGCCACGCGGTGTAGGACCGGATTATATTCCCATCTTGACTGGCGGCTTGTGGCTGGAAAGGTTGCTCTGCTGCAATGGTTGTTTCAGTTGGTTCTGCCGCATATGTAAGGCCATTGACCAAGATGTGAAAGTAAATGGTCCAGATGCGAAATCAGCATTCAGGAATCTACTCCTGAGATTCCGTGACCTGATCCATCTTGGCCAGGCAAGTCGGTTATTGGGAACATTTGCCTGTTGGATTTGTTGCTCTTCTCGCCGTTCAGAGCGTCCACACACAGGGGCCCCATCTCGTGGAGATAGTCACAGAGCAAGCCTGCAGTCATCATGTGCCAACCTTCTGGTTCGGGAGCAGGCCCATGTAGTCATCTCTTCAAGCTGGCGGCGGGAAAACGCAGCAACCGAGGCCCATCGTTTTTGATTGGAGCATTCCTGCTGCAGGCTTCGCGGCATCATGCCGCAGCAAAGAAAAGGCACAGCTTTGCATGCAGAGAACTTAAGATGCAGGCCTTGAAGAAAGTCTGCACGGAGATCGGCATCGCTCCATGGCGTTTCATTGGCTGCTCAGATGCACGTGCAGGATGGTGGCGTGAGAGAACCTGTTTTGTGGGCAAACAGGCCAGACACCAGAGATGAGAGCTGCGTCGCGGACGGCTGCAGGGCGACGAGTTGCAGAAATTCTTCATTGGTTGGCGGCACATCGTTTACAGCAGCCCAATTGCAACCGCAATTGGAAGCTGTAGGTGGATTTTTAGATGTGAAGCCCTGATGCCGCATACCCATTGTGTGATTATGCGCGTTTTGACGTAGATACGTGTTCTTGAGGTTAGGTGGGCAACAGATCTAGAACTATCCCTATTGTGCCAAGGCTTGGTGTACAGCAGTGGGTGGCGCATCCTGGCCTTAACAGACCTGAGGCTAATGTTTAAGCGTAGGTTCATGAACTTCACAAGAGTTAGCCTTGTGAACGCTTTCCTGGTTTGAGCCCACAGCCAGGTTAGACGACATGGATTTGGCTGGCAGCTGTCATCCTCAGCTTCGGGCTAACATGGTCCGAACGGATGTTCACAGAGGTCTGCAGCCAGAACAGGTGGAGGGTGCACTCTCCGTAACTGGCCCGGAAGTTAGCTGTGTCTGCCAGCATCCAGCGACATTTACATGGATCAATCGTCAGAAGGTCATTGCCAGCTCTGACAAGCATTGCTGAACAGGTATTGGGAGTTGGTCAGCCAACTCGCGTGCCGCTTCTTGCAAGTGTGCAACCACCACCCAAAGGCAGCCATCTGACTTGTTTGAACAAGATGGTGCTTATTGAATGGAAGTTGTGGCAACGTGATGCTGGACAACTTGCTTGCATGTGTTGGCTCACGCTGGCTCCTTATGCAGGTATTGTTCTGGGTGTTGACGGCACGCTCATCGGCTTTGCGAATGTTTGCCGCCCTTGGGGGTCGTTTGTAGCCTTCTCGGAACCGGCGTGCATCCATGAGGCAAGGGGTGGGCGGCATACAGCGGGTGACTAGCTTGGTTGCGCACGTCCGTCATCGCAGGACCACATAGCTGTCTTCGCACGCCCGCATTTGCAGAAATTCTTGGATTTCTGTTTCGAGCGCTTCTCGGCAACCAAAGGCACATCTACAGCAAATCATCTAGCATGAGCGTGTCTTTTTTTGGTACGGGTAGTTCTGTGCAATGTGCTCACAGCCACAGGGTCATTCTGCAAAGCCCAGGCTTTGAAGGCGTAGCCATTTGGACAACTTCTGGTGCCGGCTTTTGCGAAACGGTCGTTGCGGAGGTTGGCTTGCTGTCTGCCCCTCCCACCATGCCTGACACTTCCCTTGCCCTTCTCTGGAGCGAGCAAGAGAAACCGCCTTCGTGTAGGCAAAGCAGCGTAGCAGCTCCCTTACAACTCCCAGTTAACAAGATCTTGATGAGGAGAGGTGCATTATCAACTGCATGTCGTTTGCACGCACAGAGACGTCAAATTCGCCAGCGATGCATCTTTGTCTTAAACTGGTGAAGCGTCAAGGTGCTGTTGCGGCATCGAAACTGGTGTTTTTGTTGGCTGCTTGGCATGATGCGAAATATTACGCACTCGAAGACGCATCAGGCTTGAAAATTAAATCGCTGGATCTGGCCTGAACCATTAAACTAGCTTTACGTTTTGCTAAGCTTCAACCTCATCTGATGAGGTCTCAGCAGCGCTGCAGTGAACATGCAAGGTATCAGCATGCTGATGGTCTTGCACATCCGTGCCTCGATTCAAGCTTGGAAGGCAACCTGCCGCCAACAAAGCACGCCTGCAGCAAGTCCAGACAAAGCATGAGATGACACAAACAACACATCTGCTGTTTGACACGCATAGCTTCGGGCATGAATTGAGTGTCCCACTTGCTGCCTTCAGGACTTGCAAGCGACTCCGCAAAGTGTGGAAATCTGCGACAAGGCCTGTGGATTCTGCTGTTCTGCATGCATGTACTGCATGCAGCCCAGCACAGCCAGCAGTGGACCAGCTTACCTGTGCTGGCAAAGGCGTCGTCGTGGCTTCCGCCGCGACACCACCATCATTGTGGAGGCGTGGTGCAGTTTGCGACGAGCACTCCGGTCCTGGGACTGGCATCACTTGTTATTACTTCGAGGCTGTCTTGCCACATGAAAAACAAACTTTGCTCCGTGCATTTGCGGCCTTGCTTTCGCGCATATGTTTCAACCACTTATATTAAAACAGGGGTTCGCCAGCCGTTGTTTGAATACCTTGTCGCTCGCATTGCTGATGAAATTGTCGGTGGCAGCTCCTTGATTTCGCGCGTGGTGTTGAACTGCTTACCGCTTGTCAATTAGCAATCCACTACACATGCTCAGGTAGGCCCCATCTTTCATGGGGGTGCCATCCGGAAGCCAGAATGAGCTTCCGGCTGGCGGTTGTCAGATCAGTACAAGCTCTATCTTAGATGTTGGAAATGCATTCTGCTGCGCCAAGATATTGTTGCTTGCAGGTGGGCAGGTAGGTAGCCAGGTCAAGACCTTGTTTCAGCTCGACATGCCACAGTGAGAACAGTATTTGAGCAGGACACATTCGGCAACTGCCACTTCAATCGGGGCAATGCCGTGATCGTGCTGGGATCCAAGAGCTGGCTGCGCCACCACTGCTCAAAGCAGCGTTGCAGGATCGACAGTGCTGTGAAGCGTTCAGGGTTTACAAGGTCCAAGGTTCAGGGCTTGCACGAATAACAACACTCCGCCAGCGTGACCTGCGCACGGGCTGTGGGATATCAGTAGAAAAGGGCAAGAGCAAGCACATAATCATCCAGTCTCTTGGTTCCTGCTCAGCACAAGGGGAGGGCGCGAGTTTGTTTGTTAGCCAGAAACAAACGTTTCCCGGACACCTTTCGAACGTTTACTATTTGGTCATACATTAACCTTTATGGGAAACGTTAGTTTCGCGAACCGAACTAAGGTTTCCAGGAAAGGTTTGTTTCGTTAGAGGCAAACAAACCTTTTTCAGAAAATTTTCTTGGAGCCCGAAACTATGGCTTACGGCGAATGTTAGTTTCCCACTAAATGCAGGTTTCTGGAAAAAGTTAGTGTCAGAGTTTCCCACTAAACTCAGGTTTCTTAGAAAAGTTAGTTTTGCTAGAGGGACAAACCCTTTCCGGAAACCATTGCTGGGGTTGGAAACTGAGGTTTCCGGGAAATGTTAATTTCACTTGAGGGAAACAAACCTTTTCCAGAGACCTTTCTTGGGGCCGGACACTATGGTTTACGGCGAATGTTCGTTTCCCACTAAATGCAGGTTTCTGGAAAAAGTTAGTTTTGCACTTTTCCACTACAGACGTCTCCGGAAAATGTTTTTAGCTTCTGCCCAAAAACACGTTTCCGGAAAACGTCAGTTTTGTCTCCCAAGAACAAACGTTTCCTGTAAACATGAGTTTTTTCCGGAAAACGTTAGTTTTTGCCCAAAATCAAACGTTTCCAGTAAACGTGAGTTTTTGTCCAAAAACAAACGTTTCCAGTAAACGTGAGTTTTTGCCCAAAAACAAACGTTTCTGGCAAACGTTAGTTTTTGCCCAAAACCAAACGTTTCTAGTAAACGGTAGTTTTTCTTGTCCAAAAACAAGCGTTTCCGGTAAACGCTAGTTTTTAATGCCCAAAAACCAACATTGCCGGTAAATGTTAGTTTCTGCCCAAAAACAAGCGTTTCCAGAAACCGTTAGCTCCTGCCCATGAAACACACGTTTCCAAAGTTTCTGAGTTAGTTCGTTTGCCCCCCCCTCCCCCCACCCCTCCCTCCCTCTCCCCCTTCACCTTCAGCAGGTTTCGAAACAAACGTTTCAAGTGCGGAAACAAACTTGTCAGCCTAGAGTTAGCTTCCCTTTAAAAACACACCTTTTTGCCTTCGCCATTTGTCCTGCTCGGGCACTGAGGTCTTGGACTCACAAAGGATTCCTGGTGGTAATTTCAATAATCATAATAATCTCAATACGTGCTCATATCGGACTATGTCTCCCAAGACGCTATCTAACTTCAACTCAAGGGCAGTTTGACGGTTCAGCTTACAAATGCTGAGGCCAACCTTTGACGTTTCGAAGGCATCAGCAACACAAGATGATATCTTGCTCAAGTTGATGCAGTACCTGGAGGCAGAGGCCGCAGCCTTGCTAATTTGAAGCATCCGTATTCTCATTCATCTGCATGATGGCCAGTACACACATAGATCCTCCATTGTTTGTGAAGGTGCTTCCTGCTGCAGATGTGCGCCGACGGCCCTGGTTTTAGAGCCGCCTCCCGAGTCCCAAAGATGGAAATCGGGAAGAAGGCCAATTTGGGAACGATTGTGCTGAAAGTTCGGGCTAGCCCGACACGGCATTGCTTGGTGTGTAGGGGACAGGCTTATGTTTGCTTCAGGTAGCAGAAAATCAACGTGAGATGCGTGTACTGTACAGTCTGTCTTCTGCCCAAGCTCAGGGCTTGAGACTAGCATCCGAGCATTTGCAGTTTGTACAGTGTACAGATATCGACTAGATTATCGAATCGGCTCCAATCCATACAAAGAGGTTCGGACGTTCGGTGCAATTGGGAACATACAGTTGCTGGTTTCCCTTGTGTAGTAGCAAGCCCCTGACAAGCTCACAATCTTTCGTGCTGCCTCCGATTTCGGTTGTCACTTGCCGGTCCGTTGCCTGATTTGGATCATCTCTATACAGCCTCTACAGGCTGCCTTCTGTAGGCAGCCATCAATCTCAACAAGAAGGCTTAACAAACTCTGACCAGCACGGGTAGCTTCAGTGAACTGTAGTGGAACGCCCTTCAGTGATTGTTTTTGGTCTCTTAGTTGTGAATGTCAGTGCTACAACCTCGTTACGCTCATGGCGTCACAGGACCTCAGGGCCCGAATCCTGAATCTCAAGCTCGATTTAGAGTACTTAGCGTACCGCTTCAGAATCTGGGAAACACAGGGCAGTGGGCCACCAACACCATATCATACTCGATTCTTAGAGACATTGTCCCTGAGGGTCTCTACTTGCGCCTACCCGACAGCGCCCCTCGTCGGACAACCTGCAAGGACCTGCTGCTGCCATAAGTTATTGCAACAGCTGCTGGAGTTGGCAAGTTGGCATGCGGGCGATGTCCATCTCAAGACAAAGGATGCAATAAAGTGAACGTTGCAGGATGTGGCAATGAAGCTCCCTGGCAAAAGATGTACAGGTTTCCCTCAGCACGCGTCAGCGGTTCGGTGAGCGTGAGACGCAGCTTATTCAACTTTTGTCGAAGCCCCGAGTTGCTGTGTCCAAGGTTAATGCCGATAATTGAACCTCGGCAGACTCCAGCTGTGCAGAGGTAAGGTAAGCTCATAACAGGGGATTCGTGCCACGGCCTCTTGCTGCTTTCTTTTGCAATCACAAGTTGCTTCCTCAGTTGCAAGGAGTGGCTTCCATCGTATCGCTGGAAGGAAAACGCTCTTAAGGACCAAGCTTCGCGCTTGAGGGTCAGGGCACTGTCGATTTTAATGATTTCAATGGGCATTTCTGGCTGCTGATCAGAACAGTGAATAGAAGTGAGTAGTGTCCGAAGTTGCCCGTTTTCGGGGCGCGTTCCTTGCATGACTCCTTTCTCTCGTTTGCCAACACCTGTTTCAGGATGTGGCCTGTGGTGTAACCCTTGGGTGTGTTTTGTTTGCCCAGTCGCTGGCTCACGCAGCGCTGTCCAAGGCCAGCGCAGTGAACTGAATGCTCACGCAGACTCATGCATCCCGAGACGGGCTGAGGGAAGCGTAGAAATTCTTGACTATCCGCTGTACGCACTATCTGAATCTGAAAAGCTAAGCTTTGCTGTCAGGTGAGCTTGATCACGGGGCCATACAGCTGCCTGCTGCCTCCTGTTCTTTACTCGCTCTTTGGGACGTGTGTCCAGGCCCCCTGCAAGATGATCGGATTTTTGTGCATCAACGCCTTTGTGTCAGTGCTGCTAGGCCTCTGTGGGAACGGGCGGCTTGGCGCCTCCTTCGAGCCTTATACTAAACGACACGAGCTTTTTTTGAAACATGTGGGCTGGCCAGGTGGCCCTCCTCACCGGCGAGCAGCTAGGTCAAGTATCAGGCAAGACCTGGGATTGAATGTGGGAGGAGGTGGTTGGAGGCTGGAGGTAAACTTGCGAGTTGTTGGACACTATCGGAATTTTAAGCGAGGAGCCTGGATGCCGTATAGTAGCTGTGGAGCAAGCAGGCTTGTGTCCTACCGTGGCAGTACTGGTAGGGGAGACGTAGCAACTGTGGTTTCGAGAGTGCTGACAGGAGGCGAAGAGAGGCGGACGCATGCCAGCGCCGCGGCAGAATCAGGGTAAAAAGTCAGTGGAAGGGAAGTGGAGATGAAAAGGTTCGTCAATTCCATGCATTGCAGGGATGTGCGTGATGACGTTCTGCAAGCATCCGATGTAACTATGCAGGGAGAAATTGAGAGCTAGACAGGTTGCAGCCGGAATGAAGTCTGAGTCATCTCTTTGAGTCTCAAATGCTGCGCCTTACTGGCGCATGGCCAGCTTCAGAAGAATACTTCTCGGGAATGGGCTGACAGGTGCGATCTTTACTTTGGAGGTCGGGCTCGTCATAGGCCCACTGCACGCCTGCGCAGCCATTGCGGGCAGTACTTGGAGCTCACATGTAACCAAGAATAGGCATCATTGTTGCCTCTTGATACTCAAGCGGCCCTCCCTGCAGGCTCTATGGGAGTGTTTCAACTGGCTTTCCTCGTGCGGTTCCTCTCCAAACCTGCGCCTTGACCACTGAACATGAATTATTTCCTTCCTTCCTCATTCTGTGAGATCGGTCCAGCGACACTTTCCGACATTCGGCCAGTGCTATACCGGCGCGGTCTGATGTGCAAGTGACTGCTAGATTAAGGCTCTGAGCGGCTTCATCACTGCAAGTGCAATCCTTATCATGCTGTCCCAAGTCAAACCAGCCATCGGCTTGCCGCCGTCCGGCTGCACACAATGAGTTGAAGAGTTTCATGGCAAAACTGGAGAGCTTGCCTGATCTTAGGAAAACGGATGTCGGAGGCATCATGGATATCATTTTCATGCATCCAGAGGAGATGGACGATGTGAATCCGGCAACTATCATTTTCAGCGTTTGTTCCTTGGATGCAGAAATCGAGATCTAGTAACTGCAGCCGGGGTGACATCTCCCGGCTACCATGCGGCCCTCGCAAGGTTGCCAATGAATGCGCTGCTTTGAGTTGGGTCTTCTTTGGTCAGCCAAACAAGCTTCGCTAGCAAAGGCATTTGGCTCTTCCTCCACTTTGCCAAAAAGCTAAAGTCGATGGGAGCTTCGCTGAAAATGGTCGCAGAATTCAAGGAGGTTAGAACCTGTGATTCAAAGAGCGCATTCCGCACTCAAAGAATAGCATTCCCGTTAATTACGTCACTTGCACTTCAGAAGCTGCCAGAGGTCATCCTGCTGGTGGTATCAGCGCTGATTGCGAGCAGGCCAGGAAGATGCAAGCACAGATGCTGCTTTGTCTGGAGTCTTGCAGCCTGCTGCGGGGGCTTGTATTTTCGGGATGTGATCGCCAATACAACCACTTCAGATTCACATGGGTGACGTGCAACGGGCAAGTTGGAGAGGCGAGGGCACAGGCAGCAGCAGATTGACAATGGCAGAATGCATGCCAAGCAGGATTTCGGAACCAATGGGTATCGCTGTCATCGGCCACGTGCCCGAAGGCTTCCCAAAGTTGGCCTGGCCAATCAAGACCAGCCACTGCACCGCTTTTCAGTTTGAGGCCAAAGGTGGATGGATTAGTTTTGGCTTCTCTCCGACAGACATGGATGTTCAAGCTGAGGCGATGATTGGCAGCTTGCCAAGGAGCTCTTTCCTGGAGCAGTGATGCTGCCCGTCGTGAGTCAGAAGCCTGAACAAATGGGCCGACTATGGCCTAATAGTGTGCCGAGGGGTTTCGTGCTTTCAGGGTTGTGGTGGTATCCTGAGCGTGCTCCTTGTGGAAGATCGCGCTTCTAGCCTTGAAGTAAGCGCTGTGGATCCTGGCTGCGCAAAGGTTAGCGCTGGTGAACTTCCTTTCGTCCTTTGCCGCTGCCAGAAAGTTCGCTATGAAGGCGCGCAGTACTGACGAGTGTGATGTTATCGTACAATAGTGCACGTCGTCATCGTGAGACATCGATTCCAATCACCTAAATAATTAACAGCAGGCAGGATACCAAGTTGTGGCTGTCAATGAGCTGCTGGCGCTTGGAGCAGCGAAGCTCTGAAGCAGTGCTTCATGTGGGAGCATAGATGCAGCACGTCAACTGGGCATGTGGCGTAGGGAGGTGTAGAAGTAGACCGGCAGTAGAATGTAATAGGGCAAGTAGCAGTACTGATAGTACTGATGCATGCTGGTGCCAAGTCCCAAGCTGGGCTCCGAGCCACAGTCGTGTTGAAATTCAGGAACTTTGGTGGCGCCATGTGCGGAGCTGTTCCAACACAGATTGGCCTTAGCCGAATGGGACTCTCGCAGCAGGTTAGCCTTCTCTTGTTACGTGAGACTGTTACTACATAGTCTTTTGGTCGATATGTGCGGCTCCTGCTGCTGTGCAATTTAGGAATTGCCAGCTCCATCGGAGTGCGAAGCCAGCTAGGCCGGCACCGCATTGCACGCATGCTTGGAACACATGCTACAGAATAATCAACTTTCAAGTCTGCTGACGCATGCGAGCTTGCACTTCCACAAGTGATGGCTCGCTTTGAAACACAGGCGCAAACATCTTTGTGGCCGTGGTGATTGCAACTATACTGTTGCTACTGAGCCCTTACATCTACTATGTTCCAAGGCTGGCTGCACAAGCACGTGTGTAAGGTCGTTCCCTGACTTGCTTCTGAGTTCAGGTGCGCTTTGAACATAATTATTATTTTGGGCGCGTCCTCACTTACAGCCACTCGCCCGTCGCATCAGCTTGGACACAGCTAGCAGAGATTTTTTCTACCGGGGCTCCTTCAGGTGATTCCTCAGCGTCTCTGCTTGAGACCAACTTGCTTGCATGCCAGTCTGGAGGGATGCTGGCAGTTCCCAGCACACATTCGCAGTAACCCACCAAGAAGAAGCAAGAGTCAGCATGCTGCCTGTTCCTGTCACATTCTTCGCCCAGAAAGTTCCGCCTGCACAGCTATGCCCCATGAGGAGGTTGGTCCATCCTGGACCCATCCTGCACTGAGGAGTTTGAGCATGCTGCGTGGCTGTGGTCTCTCCGGGCAACCCGCACTCGTCAGCGAACCTATGTGGTGGACTATGCTGTGGCTCGTCCCAAATCTGCCCACCCACATGAGGAAGAGCTGTGACTGGTTTTGGCCAATGTAGAAGCAGCTACGGTTGATGCTGGCATTGCTTCGAGGTTTGGTGGGTGGCTTTTCTTTTCACACTCTACCTTGGTGCTCTGAAAGGCCTGCACACGGGGTAAACTGTTTTCTCTGCAGCCCACTAGTTTTCTCAGCCCAGATGGGCTGATGCAGTATTCTCCAGGCATTCTCGGCGCCGTGGTGGTGTCTTTGGTGTTGATCGTGTACCAAGTAGCCGATCCACCGCTCACAACCTTGGGCTACTGCGAGTGCCGTGGACGGTGGCTGAATGTCAAGGACTGCATTTTGAAACTAGGGTCGGAGCTGCTCCAGGGCTTTCCAACACCCTCTTCGGTAGCTCCTGGTGCCATGAGACAATTGAAACCAGAACAATGCATAGCTGCATGTCCCTATGGCACGGACGGATTGACAGTTCAGCAGAAGTGTCCCCATCCTGCATTCGCATGAGGCAAGCCCGGTATAACAGCTTTGCTCACAGCATTCGTCCCGGGACCCATTTGAAGCACCACAAAATTCAAGATATAGCGGATGTGCTCCTTCTCATTCCCTGCCAGCGAGGAGCGTCTAGACACGGTGCAGCGGCCCGGGATCTTGTCATTTCGTCCAGAGGGCCCACTCTTCTATGCAAACGTTGAACGTATGGAGGACATGCCAAGACAGCAGACAAAGCCTTGCAGAATGCCCTGCAGCTTCAAGCTTGGGGAGTAGACCTGCTTTAATGGGCGCAGTGGCGTAGTGCATACAGGAGTGGTTGGACGAGATGGAAATTGCTGCCAACGCCGTTCCTAAGCTTGCAAAGCTTGCAAAGCTTGCAAGATGGCAGGTGCATTGCCAGGAACCTCTGGGTTCTATGCGCATTGTCTGCTTGAGGAGGGTACTCCACTGAAGTCCATCATCCTGTCAGCAGCGGCGATCCCCTTCTTGGATACTTCTGCCGTGGAAGCTTTGGGGCTGATGCTGCAAAGCTGAAAGCATTTCATGGCAGTCATTTTGCTTTCTCAGAATGTGGGCTTGCCTTCTGCACTTGAACCACGCTACTTTTCTGCATGCAGCAAGCAACAAAGTAGGCTTGGTCGCAGCAGTGTGGCCAGCAAAGGCTCGAAGCATATCGCAAGCGCAAGATTGCATTTCTGATTGCTCACGCATCTGGCCAGCACGGGCCTTATTGAAGTTCACGACAGCCTTAACTTGAGTTTGCGCTGCAACGCTGCAGAGATGTATGCCTCAGTTAGCAGCTGCCAACATGAATGTAATGATCTTCCAAGGCCGCGGCAGATACTGCTTCATGTTCTAGGCCACAGCTTTCCTCATGGCACAAAATTCTGGGGCCTAGGGGCAGACCAACATGCACTGGACGGCTGTTTTGACTGCCAATCAGGCGACTACATGCCAGAAGGCTGTCTGACGACCCCTTGGACTGTGGAGGAGCCTCCTGCAGTGCAGCTTAGCAAACCAAGGGCCTCTCATGCACTGCAGGAGTGCGTGCAGTTCCTTCTGAAGCAAAACCAAGAGAACATGCAGGCGGATACTGCGGAGCTGGGTCATTACTCTACATGGTTTTGAGGTGCTTTGTGATTTGTGCTTCTGCTTCCAAATCCTCGTAATGAGAGGAGTAGGTTCCGTCACCAGATTGTAAAGCATTCTGATAATTGAAAAACCACATCTAGCGAATTCTGCATCCAGTTACAGTTACTGAGGAGTCCTGACAGGAGCTACAGGGTAAGATCGCCAATTCAGTGCAAGCAGCGCAGGTTCCGGAGCGATCCATCGACTCCTCACCTGCGCTGTCTGCCATGCTGTCGCCGCAGGTGGTCTGTGGGCTCTGAGCCATCGCTGCTGGAAGCGGTGTTCTCGTTTTCAAGATGACTGTCCCGTGCTGCACAGGCACCTGGTCTGCCGCGGGTGACGTCAATTCCACAACAACTTGGCGAGGATGAGGAAAGTTTGCAGACAGCACGCCACTCCGGGAAAGTGATTGCAAGCAACTTCGATTGGTACAGGACCCGGACATCAACGAAGCAGTGGAGGGCTTGCAGACTGCATTAGTCTCTTGGAAGGTTGCCACAGGGCCTGAAGCCCTACTGGGCGGGACTTACAGGAAAATATTGAGTGGGTTAGCACAGGTTCTTATGTAGAAAGGTCTCTCTTTTGTAAGCTTCTGGGCCGTCTGGGCAGCTTCACAGCCTTACAGTCATGATCTTTCTGAGGCAAGCGATTGCAGATCCGGCCGCTGCATACTTCTGCCAGCTTTGCTTCTAGCAGCTTGCCCAAGACCTGGTCCCGAAATCTCACTGCTAAAGATCCCAGCCCTGAGGCTCAAACCTCTTGATGCTCCCTGAGCAGCGTGCGTAAAGCTCTTTGGCTGTCAACAGACAGTGTGAGCACCAGCTTCCGCAGGTACCAAAGTGGTGCCTTGCATTGGTTTGACCCTTAAAACATGATCCGGAGACTGTCATGCAGATGTTGAAAAGCTGCGTGGACGGTTGCTCCATATCTGGCAGCTCTGAATTCTACAGCCTTACATGGCTGGATGATATGCAGCCTTAGTCACCAAATTCTTGTCCGCAGAGTGTCTGTGTATGATTGATTGCCCGCAATTTGGCTGCCACACGCTTTCAATTTCAAGTTCGCGATTGACCACACGTGGTGCAGAGGCATGTGAAGGGGAAGTTGGCCTATCGGCTGATGTTCCAGTCACATGAGGGTCCGCTGGGCCAGGCGCAGCTCAAGCGGCAAGCATGCCGCGAGTGGGCCATGGGCCTGCAACGGAGGACCGCCACGCTGGACACTGTTGGGTAATGAGAAGATTCCATTGGTCAGGCTTGTGCACCTGATGCTTTCAGCCAGCAACAAGGTTTCTGACATTTCGCGGAGGAGAGGCGGCTCAACAGCGGCCTCCAGACCTTGCCTTCAGGCATTCTCACTGGAAAGTGTCACCACGAGCGCGCACGACACGTTCAACGAAGAAGGCATGTCCTCTAGCAGCTAGCACTTTATGCTCGAGCCAGAATTGTTTTCATATTTGACATTGAGCGCGCAATGGCGGCGTCTCAAAGCTGGAGGTGGTTGTCGACGCACTCATGCAGATGCTCGGTGAGTCGGCAGTAGTAACTCCCAGCGAGGCTGCGGAAGTGCTCAGGGCAAAAGCCCCGAACATGTCATCCGAAGCATTGAACAAGATGACATGGTGAGAAGCGCCATGCTGCGGACCAAAGAGTAGCAATCCGCTTGCAGGAGGAAAACCGGAACTAGGAAGAAATACTCCGCGCAAGAACACGGGAGGAGAGCTGCTAGAGGCTGAGCGGCTGAGCTTGGAGGAGAACAAGAGGAAGCGTCGGTTCACAACGAATTGGGGCAAGACGCCTTTCCCAAGCACCAGCACATGCGGCAAATGCCCCAATTCGTTGTGAACTGACGTTTCTTTATAGCAAGAAGACTGCCATCGTGGACGTGTTTTGCACCGGCGCATTTGCTCAAGTTTGGGGCATTGATGTCGGCGCCCTGAGGAAACTACGTCGGAAACATCCAAGGATATCCACAAAATCTGGAAGTATGCTAACATCTCTGAGAAACGCCTGGGAGTGCGAGCAGTAGACGTGCCGGATCGGTTTCATGCCAACCTACAAGCCAGCTTGGGTGATCCAGTTTGAGAGCAAGCCGGATGAATGTGAAGGTGACGACGTCATGGAAATTGTATAGAATCCGCAAGTCTACCTTGGAACGCCGGCTGTTGGAACATTGGATCAGCTGATGCGTGAGTCCCTAAGCCTGGATTTCCGCGCTCCGCAACAGCAGTATCACACCAGAGAATTCGAAGCAAACATGTTTCGCTGAAGGAGTTGTGCATCTCCCTGTCCAGCATACCAACTTTTGATTTATGATCCGATGCGCGTTGGGGCTCCTGTGTCACAGGCTTGCTGTTCGGTGACGTTTTCCTTGTCCAAAACTACACGTGACTTGCGGTAGGCAGTGCGCTGCGTCCACTGAGACGTCCATGAAATGCTTGCGCCAGGCATTAGCGCTTTTCCCGTGGCAAGGCACAGTGCCTTCCATCGATCCTTGGCATGATGGGCCTCATCGGCCATTTGCATCATAAATTGCAACGTGTATCTGACCTTTTGCTTCCTTGTTAAATAGTGTTGAACCATAGACGATGTCTTCCCCCAACCCCAGGCAGCAGTTTGCAAGGAGGCACTATCTGCAAGGCTCGGCAGTTCAACGGATTACATTCAACGCTGCTGAAAGAGTGCGATTAAACGCCCCAGCTGCTGGGACCTGCTTCTTATCCCATCACCGCAGAGCTTAGGAAGCATCAATCAGAAAATGCCCGAACTCTGGTCTGACTTCTCAGAAAGAGGTCTGCCACATGCCACCTGGCCTGAGTTGCTGCATTGTAAGAGAGTTTCTGGAAGGACTTGATGGTGATGAAGTCAGACTCAAGCTTGCATGACCGCCAAGCCTTGCGTGATTCACGTGGCTTCAGGGACGTGCTGGGACCCATGAAAGGATCGATAACTACCACGGAGATCCCGCTTCTGGGCGGCAAATTCCAGAAGACAGAAGCTGCCCAGCAAGCATTCCCATGCGCGAATGTTCCTCCCATGCTTGCAGAGCTCCAGGAGCTGTCAAACAGGGAAGCCCCGCTGTCGGCAAGGCCAGGGCAAGTGGTGTGCCTTGACAGATGCTATTGGATTGAGTACTTTTCCGTAGCATTGATGCCCCTGCATAGGGGCCTCACAGACCGCTTTCTCGGGGAAAGGCATCTTTAGAAGTTTTTTGAGGCTTCGTTCATGGTTTGTGCCTTCCGTTCTTCCAGCCCAGGCATGCATTGGCTAATGACATGTCATAGACGAGCCGTGAAATCGCGGGAGCGGTGGCAGTGTCGGATGTCATAGTAGCAGCAATAATCAAGTACAAGTAGGATTCGCAAGTAGCCAGAAGTAGGAGGATCATGACCAGGAGGGCAGCAAGAGATTGGCAAGGATGCCGGTTACTTAATGGGCCTTTTTTGTCGCAACTGCTTGGCCGACATCGCAGCTGACCTTCTTCTTCTATGATGGTGTCACAGTAAGCTACAACTGGGATCAACTGGGAGCGTTGGTCATGCTCTTTTTTTTAGCTGCGCCACCAGTGTTTTGCATCCAGGACCAGCCTCGTTCCTCAGGAAATGAGATAGCAGTCATCGTAGTGGTTGCGCGGTTGTTAGCCATCAACTCCCCTGCAATTGCAAAAGTGAAGATGGACTACTTCCCTAAAGTGCAGCGTGAACTCAAGAAACAAAGATTGAACATGACCGTCAAGAATGTCAATGGGGCAATTGGGGTAATTGTAATCGTAACAGTTCTTGAAACATGATACAAGTTGGACCTGTGGGCAAGCATGTGTTCCCTACATTGTTGCAATGCGTAGCCGGAATTGAAAGCATAATCCAAGGTTCGTGGGGTTGGCAGAGTTTGACATGGACGGTAGAGCCTACACTGGTGGCGAGATGGATCGCATGATGATGACGCTTTGGTGCCGATTGATCAGGTGAATTTGCAGGCATGGCAACAAGCTTAGGGCGGCGGAAGCAAGACCAGGCTCACTGTGCTTGTGCCCCTGTTAATTAGCTGGTAGAGCATGATGTGTCTTCATTGCTCAGGATTGCTGCTTCTCAGAAATATCCTTGCTCCCGTCCAGCGACCTTCGATGAGTACGCCGTCACTTGACAAATCCGGTCCCGAAGCTTGCGTAGCGACGTGCTCAACTATAGAATCCGAGCGGTTTGGGAGGTGGTCTGACCCAACCGTCACGTTCGGCTTCGAATGCAGTGTGCTTTTTCAGGAGAAGTGCATTCTCGGCCTTCCTCAGCGAAATACCAGTGGTCGTGATGTGGTCTTCGTCGGACCCGGCGCCACTGGCTGCAACTCGCCGGCTGTGGGCTTTAGGATCGGAGTGCTGTTGCGAAAGTAACGCCAGGGCGAAGGCCAAGGCTCGCATGGATCCAAGCCTCAGAAGATTCTGCTGCGCCTGTGTCCCCTTTAATTCTTTGCTTCAGGCAGGGGTGGGTGGGGTAGGGCATGGGGGGGGGGGGGGGGGGG